GTAAAGCAGCTTAAACATTTTTGTAGAATGACACACACAGAAGTCTGACGCTGCGAAGTGGTAAACTTAGACAACTTAGGTGAAAGTATGTCGGCTTATGTTATTCAAACTTTGAGAAGGATTATAGCCAAACCTTCGTACAGTGACCACCTTGAAGACACGGAAAAGTAACCATTTCAAAGAGGTGGCGGAAAGTAGAAATGCAACTGTTCTAAAAACAAAGTTGAATGTATGAAGGCAGAGTACAAACTGAATTCTGGTACAGTCAAATTTCGTTCATAAATACGAACACTGAGGGGGCCATAGACAGTGTCCGTATTCATAATATTTATATTATTAATATTTATACGGGTTGAATTTAGAGGGACAGACCAAACTGTCGGTAACAACGAGGTGTCCTTATTACGAGGGTGTTCGTAGAGCGGGTTTGACTGTATTACTAGAATGAATGAATAAACAACTTTATTAACGTGTCCAAATCTTTTAGCTGGTCGCAAGTGGTCTACTAATCGGGGACACCACTAGTATAGTAGTAGTAAATGAAAATTTTTTTGAGTATATTCAGAGAGATTTATAGTCCTTGATTAGCTGCATCCGAGTATTAGGACTTAAGAATGATCATACTTTGTGCAAAGGTTTAACTTAAGATCCATTTCCTTGCTTTAAGAGATGGAAATTGGCAGCACGCATTTCTCATTCTAGCATTTGACAGGTCTTCTAACCTTCCGCTCTAGTTTGGCCGAGTCTTAGCTTGGTCAAGGTCGAATCAACACCCAAATATCTTCAACGTGGGAAATCTTATTAAACAAAGTTAAATCTGGCGCAAAGAACCTCTTTTTACACCATTAAAGCCACTGGTGAACTGATACGATATATGGGTGTGTTAACCTAATGACCACGAGAAAAATGAACACTCACTGCGAGAACCGTAGGGGTTAAACAACTCACTGTTGCCGGGTGGTCGTTTATATGAATTTTGTTGACAGCTTTTTCTTTTATATGTAACACTGGCAGTTTATATTTTCCCCCGTTTTTCTTTTTCATTTTCGGCTGCTTTGTTAACGCTAAAACAGTAACTGAAGGGAAAACAACTTTAAAGTGTTGGTTTCCTAAATGGCTGGGTGTAAAACAATACAGTACAGTAACTACTACAGGTGATAGTGTGTGATGTCATCGATCATCTTTCAATCACACAGGTGTGGTGCTCCTATGATATATATATATATAGTATATTGAAGTCCAAAAACCTTAATAACACTTGTGATGAAAAGCTATTCTACTTGTGACCAAGCTCATTAGTACGACTTTTATCTTGTTAGATTCGTGCTTTCACTTCCGCCTTCCATTTGGTGATTTAAACAAACCCTGCGAGTAATAGTGAAGTTTGATGTTGTAACAGTGTTCCGTTTTAACTAAAGGAGGATCTTGATTCTGCCTTCTGTAGAGTAAGTCCAAAAGCAACAACCCCTGTGTAGCCTCAGAAACGTGTAAATGGAGCAGGGCCAAATTTACGAGGAAGTTTTTTTAATCATACTGATAAATATTTAGATAAAAAGAAGCTGATGATGGATAGAGCCGTGGCGACAGGTGTTTTTGTTTTTTGAACCTAAACAGTTCCCAACTGATCAGTGTAATGGAAAATTCTATTTTTGTAGCCCTTAGATAAATACTTGAGTCTCTTAGTACGTTTGTATCTCAGTTCAAATTCTTTATCCGGGCGTTTCTTTTTAGTGTGTAATAGCTCTTCCTATCAACTGTTCGAGTTCGGGGTTTCCGGAATGTCTGAGGATCTTAAGAAAAGAAAGTTTGATTTTTCTAGACGATCGTTCAACGACGTTCTAATGAACTAATACTGTACTACGTTTATAGCAGCTGTGATTCGATGCCCGGGGAAAACTTTAGGAATTTTTGGGTGAGGATGTGCCGCTGGGAACATGTAACGCTTAGCCTATACCAGAGCTAGTTTAGTTGAATTTTGCTACCCTATAGTAGACTCCCCAAATCCCACCTATCCTAGAGTAGTTTTTTAGGCTGAGTTGCGTAAATTTAAACTTGCCGATTTGACTTTTGTATATTTTTGGATGGCAATTCCCGGTTTCCCTAGTCTATTTAGGAGCCGACTGATAAGTTTCCTGGAAAATGAGACCCTATTCTAGACCCTATCCCAGAATGAACTGCTTGAAAACCATACCCTTCACGGCGGCACATATAAATAATACGACTTCTACTATCCACATTCTTTATCCTTAAGATGTATATCTTTTTCGTGTAGCCATGACGAGTAAAAAAGAACAGAAATGGGGGTGACTGTTCTCGTTTCATTGAAAAAGACAACAAAGGGACAATTTCGACTTCGATTAACCACTTTGCGCGAAGAGACTGGGGCGAGTTTCAAGACCGACAAGTTTTTAGCCGGAAGGAGTCACCAAAATTGCTATTTTAAAAGCATTTGGACTACAAAAGTTACCTCTCTTTTATAGGCGACCGGTGAAAATCACCGCCACCTTTGAAGGCGCAATACTATGCGAAGTGAAACAAAGTGTAAAGCAAGTGAATTACCTTAGCACACGAAAAGGCTATATAGCCGTATAGGCTCCTTACAACAAATACATAGGGTGGAAGCGCGGCACTACGCAACAGTGACGATGCCTTTCTTTTAAACTTTGTGCAGTGCCTTAGTGCGGGAAAAAAGAACGGTCAGGGTCGAAGTGAGTGCGGGGCATAAAAAATCAGCGGGCTGGCAGTTGTTTTGATCCATCAAAGATATTTTTAGTCCGCCATTCAGTTCGTAAAAAAAAACCACACTGGAACAAAAATAGATGTCACTGGGGCGCCAGTGGCCAAAAATAGAGTTGTTTTATCTCCCATGCCCAGGAAATCGGAACTTTGTCTAATACTCTTCCTTGCTGTACATCGTTATCGTAAAATCGATATGTTCAAGACACGAAATCAATCGATTAAGGCAACGTGGGGAAAATTGTCGTAAATTTAAAACTTCCCCATGAGACGCCAATTTGGATTTTTGTGGATCAATACCAGAAAATCTCTTTTTGAAAATTGTGATATCAATTATTTCCTTATTTATTGTTCATATGTTTTACATTATTTATAGCTGTGCTATTGAGGTCTCGGAGACTGCCTGCAGTGACACTTTTGGACAACTTTGTTAAATTAAATACAAAAAATTGGCTTTTGGATTCGTTTCATAGTGTAATGGTAATCCAGTTACATTTTTAACTGCACATCTGTGATGAAAATCAAAGTTGATCGACAGAAAAACAATCGATTTAAACATTGCGTATTGGGGGATATCCGCAATGTTTAAAGGGGCGGGGTGGAATGGATTACCCACCGATATGATAATGGTGTTTAATTTTGAAAGAGCTGAAAAGGTAAAAGGCCCGCGGAAGAATTGTAGACTCTTCGGGAAGAGCGGAAATCAGAATGGGTTACTTGTAGCCTGCGTAGCTGGTGGATTTTGCCAAAAAAGGAATTAAGGGTTGACACAGGGATAAGCAAGCAGCGATTAAGGAATACACAAAAAATAAATAAAACCATTGTTACTTAATTAAAGACCCCCATTGACTATTTGAATTATCTAAGCTTTTAAATTAACCGCCCAAAAATAGTTACACTGTATTTCTCCGATCGTTAACAACTACGTGCAAAACTTCGTTCAACCCCGAAAGTATCTCTTTTAAAGCAGTCAAAGAAGGAACTGTCCCTCTTTCAGGAAATCCATTTAACTCTTTACAGTATTTGCAACTTTTCAGTCGTACGTTTTTTTAATCAGTAAGTTGCTTTTGCCTAGTAATGTTGTACAAGCATTTGTTCGTTTGTTCTTCCCTTCTTTATCTATATTTTCCCTCAAACGCACACATTATAAGACTTATGAACGTCATGCTGACTGTACGGAGTGTGTTTCGTCAATTTGACGTTAATTGCACGGAAGTGTTCGGCTCTTATGATTTATTTGTTTTCCTTGACTTTATCGGTTTGTGGTTTATAATAAATTGCGAAATGAGATATTAAAGCTGCTATTTTGTTGGCGTTTTTTCATCATCCACAGCTGAAAGGGTTGATCGTCAGGCGTAGGGAAGAACCACGGTCATCCATTCGATACCTTAAACACGCCACACGGATCACGCTCCCTCAGAGGTTGTAGGAAATTCGTCTTACTCTTTCACAAGTTTTTAAGGTAAGTTCTTGTTACGCGCAGAGCCTTTACCACTTATAAGCGCTTTTAGACCTTGAGATGGTCAAAACAATTTTCACGAATTTTCTGGACTAACATAACAATGTTGTGTTGATAAATGATTGTAAAAGAATTTGAATAGCTTGTAGTTACCATAGGACTTCTCTTCCTTAAAGCTGTATAAAGGGCCACTTTGTCTTTTATAAGAATCGAGTGAAGTAGAATAATTTCTTAGGTAACTTTTATTTGATAGGAAGGGTAAAGATTCATCAAGAATATGTAATGGTTTAATAAGTCTGAGTTCCGGAGTAAACTGGTGAGTCACTTCAAATCAATTTGAAATTATGAGCCCTAGCTTGCGTGGCAGGGGAAGTGGAAGGGGATTGCGGGCGCACGGTCTCGGTCCCTCCCCCTCGCGCTCCTTTCGCGCTTCTCGCGCGCCCAGAATCTCCCCTGCGAAACGTCCCTTGCGGCTAGGAGCAAGGAGAGGCGCGCTGTATTCGCAGGCTATAGTAACATTTGCTATTTTATTTTCTGTGGCTGTTTAATTAACCAATTAATAGCTCGTGATCAGACAGTTTAGGTGTTGAAATAGCAAAGTAAAACAATAAATTGGGTAGCTAAGAACCAATCAAATTAGAGTATTTTGATTATTGAAACACAACTAAAGCAAATCAGAGAGCTTTCGTCCTTATCCTCAACCAACTCCATGATCGATGTTCTCTTTGTATGATCTCTCCAGTGCGCTTTTTACGCGGCAGCAATTATGCGCGTGCGATGGAGATTCGAAAAACAGGCGTCAGTCTTATTTGGAATCACTACAAAAATCAGTCCATCGACTTTCATCAGCTTTGTCATCCGAGCCGCAAAAGTGAAAGTCAGTGCTATGATTCTGGCATTTGAATGGTATAGAAAATGCCTCACCCCCAAAGGGTATTTTTGGGATCCTGAATTTGGCCAAAATACGGTGCGGGATTCGGGAAAACGCAAGATATCTTAACCGGGAAAGGGATATTACAGCTACCCGGGAAGCGAGATTCGCCACGGGATGCGGGATTTTTTTGCCTGTATATCGGGAATTCGGGAAATCATATCTTTTGAGGGGCAAACTCGAGTCAACCCAGCGCTTAACTGTTGACTCCTTTCAAACTAAACTATAGATACAAAATGTCCCTTGTTACTCTTCTCTTTTATTTTATTGTTTTTGGAAACAAAAGAGGAATTTGGGAAAGGGATGAAAAAATAGCGGGATATGGGAATTTTCGTGAAAAAGAAGGGGGATGCGGGATCAGGACCCTTCCCACCAAATCCCACTTCCAGACCCTGGCGTGAAAAAGCACTCAGACTGGCTGACGTCGAGCGAGCCGAAGCAGAAAAATATCAGTTTTGCGTCTATAGCGTTATGATTTGGGTTAACTGAATTCGCCTCCGCAAGAAGAGAGTTTCTTTTGTGATTATAAAAAAATCATTTACAGGCGTCTGCGGTTAAGGTGGCTGGCATCGTCTGCACTCAGTGGAATTCATGAGACTTAATAGCCGGGCAAGTGTTTTTGGACTATTTACAGTGCCACTGAGGAAAGGAATGCTTAGCATAGCTTTCGCACTGTGTATAGTTTTATTGTTTATAAACTGAGACCCGGCAACCACAGAAAATCGTAGCCTGCAAAAACATCCGTTTCTCCTCGCTCTTGGAGAAACGGATGTTCTCGCAGGCTAAGAAAATAGTTGCAGAGTTAATACATTAGGTGTTTTTTAGTGTCAACCTGCCCCGAATTGGGTTTCTGTAACCACGTATATGGCTTACTCAATATTCGCGAGCCATATGTCAGGCGTTTCACAATCGACGTCCTACCCAATTACAGGCCCTAAAGGCAGCGTTTACCTTTTACAGCGAATTTGGAAGAAGGAGAAACAGTTAAGATCGTAAAGCAGCTTAAACATTTTTGTAGAATGACACACACAGAAGTCTGACGCTGCGAATTGGTAAACTTAGACAACTTAGGTGAAAGTATGTCGCCTTATGTTATTCAAACTTTGAGTAGGATTATAGCCAAACCTTTGTACAGTGATCACCTTGAAGACACGAAAAAGTAGCCATTTCAAAGAGGTGGCGGAAAGTAGAAATGCAACTGTACTAAAAACAAAGTTGAATGTATAAAGGCGGAGTACAAACTGAATTCTGGTACAGTCAAATTCCGTTCATAAATACGAACACTGAGGGGGCCATAGACAGTGTCCGTATTAATAATATTTATATTATTAATATTTATACGGGTTGAATTTAGAGAAAAAGTAAGGGCTTTCTTTTCCCAGGGACAAACCAAACTGTCCGTGACAATGAAGTGTTCTTATTACGCGGGTGTTCGTAGAGCGGGTTTGACTGTATTACTAGAATGAGTGAATGAACAACTTTATTAACGTGTCCGAATCTTCTAGCTGATCGCAAGTAGCCTACTAATCGGAGACACCACTAGTATAGTAGTAGTAAATGAGAATTTTTTTAAGTATATTCCGAGAGATTTATAGTCTTTGATTAGCTGCATCCGGGTATTAGGACTTAAGAATGATGATACTTTGTGCAAGGGTTAACTTAAGATCCATTTCCTTGCTTTAAGAGATGGAAATTGGCAGCACGCATTTCTCATTCTAGCATTTGACAGGTCTTCTAACCTTCCGCTCTAGTTTGGCCGAGTCTTAGCTTGGTCAAGGTCGAATCAACACCCAAATATCTTCAACGTGGGAGATCTTATTAAAAAAAGTTAAATCTGGCGCAAAGAACCTCTTTTTACACCATTAAAGCCACTTGTGAACTGATACGGTATATGGGTGTGTTAACCTAATGACCACGAGAAAAATGAACACTCACTGCGAGAACCGTAGGGGTTAAACAACTCACTGTTGCTGGGTGGTCGTTTATATGAATTTTGTTGACAGCTTTTTCTTTTATATGTAACACTGGCAGTTTATATTTTCCCCCGTTTTTTTCATTTTCGGCTGCTTTGTTAATGCTAAAACGGTAGCTGAAGGGAAAACAAGTTTAAAGTGTTGGTTTCCTAAATGGCTGGCTGTAAAACAATACAGTACAGTAACTACTACAGGTGATAGTGTGTGATGTCATCGATCATCTTTCAATCACACAGGTGTGGTGCTCTTATGATATATATATAGTATATTGAAGTCCAAAAACCTTAATAACACTTGTGATGAAAAGCTATTCTACTTGTGACCAAGCTCATTAGTACAACTTTTATCTTGTTAGATTCGTGCTTTCACTTCCGTCCTCCATTAGGTGATTTAAACAAACCCCTCGAGTAAGAGTGAAGTTTGATGTTGTAACAGTGTTCCGTTTTAACTAAAGGAGGATCTTGATTCTGCCTTCTGTAGAGTAAGTCCAAAAGCAAGCAACCCCTGTGTAGCCTCAGAAACGTGTAAATGGAGCACGGCCAAATTTACGAGGAAGTTTTTTTAATCACACTGACAAAAATTTAGATAAAAAGAAGCTGATGATGGATAGAGCCGTGGCGACAGGTGTTTTTGTTTTTTAAACCTAAACAGTTCCCAACTGATCAGTGTAATGGAAAATTCTATTTTTGTAGCCCTTAGATAAACACTTGAGTCTCTCAGTACGTTTGTATCCCTGTGTTCATTAACGTAAGCACAGGCGGCCCAAGCTCAGTATGAGAGTTTTTTCATCTTTAAACTACTTGTAGCCGGTGTTCGCAGTATGAGAGTTTAATCCTTATTTCGTGTGGTGTTCATATTGTGTGGTCGTTAAAATGGCCGTGAACATGACGTATTTGTATGGGAATTCAGGTAAAAGATTCAAGAAGATAAATAATCGCTAGTATTTTCAATAAAGTACACCTTAGCTCATTTACTTTGCTTGTTTTTGCTTGCTGTGTGGTTATTTTCCCGATCCATTGAGATTTGGGTTAAAAGTGTCGCTTAACCCTTTAAGTCCCAATAGTGACTAACAGCAATTTTCTCCTAACGATATCCATACATCGTCATGAGATGAGGTTATGAGAATTAATAAAATGATCACCTAGGAGAAAATACTTTGATCTTTTATCAAATTCTCTTAACTAAATCTTGAAGTAAATGTATAGAGAGCAGTTTGGAGAATTTTTACGTGGATATTGGGGCTTAAAGGGTTAAATCGCAATGGATCCAGAAAATATAACCACACAGCATGCAAAATCAAGAAAAGTAATCAAGGTAAGGTGTTGAAAATTCTAGCGAGTATTCATCTTCTTGAATCTTTTACCTGAATTTCCATACAAGTCCTTTATGTCCACGTCCATTTTAAGGATTACGCTATAAGAGACTACACGTATTAATGATTTAACTCTCATACTGAGCTTAGGCCGCCTGCGATTATAATTGGAATTTTACTTCATTTGTGCTAAAACTTCATTAGACATTTGAACTTTTTACATCTGTCGTCAACATCCTCCGCCCTTCTTGTAAACAGGAAGTCCTGAGAAGACGACGAAAAAACACTGAGGAAGTTACCGGGGAAGTTGAGACAATTATTATTATTATTATTATTATTATTATTATTATTACAATTATTCATTCGCAGTTAAAACTTTTTAGAAAATAACCGTACAGCAACTTTGCCATAAGGTACCGAAAAGGCTTCGAAAAATTATCCACAGATAACTATCATAAATACAAAGTATAGTTTGCGGTTATGGACGACCTTTCGTAAGCACTACCACCCTTGCGGTACCTGATTGTGCCTCATTCGTTCTTCAGTATTGCGGAGTCACTTGATTTATCTTGGTGAACTAGAAACACTTCGGAAATTACTGAAGTAAATGTTAGCATAAGTTGCCCTAAAGAAAACGAAAACGCTAATTTCACACCCCGCAAGCACTGCAAGCGGAGGTGTTTCTCTATGTCGCCGTCGCGAGGAGAAACCTCTGCTCGCATGGTACCTCGTGGACCGCGTCCGTCACAAAATAGAGACCGACGACAGCGACGGGAACGAAAACGTCAAAAAAGCAATAAGTTTAACAACCAAAACAACAACTTTGCTGGTGCATCACGCTTTATTGTACATTTCTTTGCCGTCACTGCGCGCGTGACTACGACGTGAAAATGTCTAATTTCACGTTTTACAGAGGAAGTACACAAGCGACAACGAAATTTCCCCTTCCTTTCTGAACTTGGATATGGTTCTAAGGAATTCAACATTAGAAGGGTTCACCCACATTTGACAAAGCTAGAGACTTGGAGTAATCTAGGCTCCCCCGCAGACATTCTTAGGGGCGCGGGGGAGGCTAGGAGTAATCGTGATGAAGATTGAAAGAACGCGAAATCACTTTTTCAAAGACGTTTTCGCTGCCGTCGCCGTCCTCGGACTTTAAGGTCCCAGATGAGTTCGATAGGAACGGAAGCTTTTTGTTTCAGTCTTTTTAGCTGGGGCTTAGCCTGTGAATACCGCCATCTCTCCGCCGCTTAGGACGTCTGCGATTAGCGAGGAGAGATGGTTGTTTCGGCAGACTATGAGGGGCTCACTTTAATCACTCTGAAGACTAACAGGCAAGTGGTCCAATCTTTACCTTAATAAAGACGGGAAAAATGAACACACGGCTCAAGGTTCGTGATGGTTGTGATAGTGACAGCAAGTGTCAGGGGCACCCAACGAGAATATAGTTCAAAAACACTTAAACATAGCATTGTTGAAAGTATCTTAGTATTTAAACGGCAGATATAGGCATACTTTTATCCCGTAAAATTTTTCATCTGTTCGGATTTCCTAGCTGAAAGTCTAGTGATCCGAAAATTATAGGGATCAAAACTTACCTTTTCGAAAATTTCAGCCAGAAGAAAAGCTCCCGAAAATTCTAGGTGACCTTTTTAGGGCAAAAAACCGTCAAAAATGAGCAATTATACCATTTTTTAGATGTTCGAAAATCCTAGGAGAGGCAGGCAAGCAAGAAATTTTACAACAAATGTTCCGAAAATTCTAGATCTCAAATCGTCTTCCGAACAGATATTTTCCAAAAATTGACGTTGGGTGCCCCTGAAGTGTGATCGTCGGCTAACACAAAGGATTCAATGTTCAATGAAAACTCGGTACAAAGTAGTTCTTTTGCAGTGCCTCTTCAGCAAAAAGTAGAACCTTCAATGCTTTTATTTACTAGTGAAGCAAAGTTTATTACGTAATATATTCTTTTGACGTGGATGCATGTTGTTGGTTCAGTTTTTGTTTTCTATTTATTTTTTTTTCAAAAATAAAGTTTCAAGGTACTCTTACTATGACCAATTTACGTATAATACTAGCATAAACAATTGAATTCAGTTGCAAGTCATCAAAATTAGTCTTGCTCTGTCGTTGTGCTCCGAAAACGCGATGGCTCAGCAACCGAGGTATTTTAACCCGGACAAAATTCCGGCAATAAAAAGTTTGCTGATATGCCATAAGGAAAGGGAAATTGAGATTTTATCTGAGTGCTTACATGCAATAACGGATTTTTTCGCAGATTCAGCGCTGGCCAGGATTAGAACAAAAATAAGTGACGCGTGTAACGTAAAGAAGCCTAAGTTGGCACGATTAGAAGAAGCCTTTGGTAAGATCAGGGCAAGCTGCGAGGGGAAATGTTTTCAATCGGAAATTGCTTACGTGAATAACTAGACCCAATATTGTTAATATGTGAAGGGTTTTTCAATGGTGAATTATGGACAACACGAATCAAAACAACGGAACAACTTCAACGTATGATAATACACCTTCGAAACAGAAATGCTAAATGGTAGAATCTGCATAAGCTGCTACGTGTGTTTATATACTTTGGATGCTCTTACATACCGGAATCTCTGATCGGGTCGAAATGGGGGGTCATTCACAGAAGCGTAAAACGTAACGTCCAACTTATATTCTTCTCCGCAATCGCTTTTGTAGTTGTTTTTGTTTCCTTGGCATTTGCCACGCACTGATTTTGTGACATCACTGGTTAAGACTGTACGCAATTTCTTGGGCGTGACTCGGCCGACAAATTTGGAGATGCTGTTTACTAAGCCCGCTTCCGTAGGTTGGTTCTTGAACTCATTCATAATTTACTCTACAAATAATTGCGAAAGACATCATTGAATACCCTTTCAAAAATAGGAAAACAATTCTCGATAACAAAGCAAATTAATCCCGCCTTCAGCGAGGGAGTTTCACGTCTCTTTGTTTCAAATCACGCCTCTTCCCCCCATTCTAACGGAAGAGTATTACCTCAGCAAAATCACTTTTTCAATTCCGGTTTCCGTTAAATCTGTCAGATGTCAGGAGCCCATGCAGGCTCCTGCAGATATATATACTTCAACCAAAATCAGTATCGTTTCAGTTGTACATCCGCCGTTTCTAAACTGTTGAGAGCTGTCAGGCTTGACCGACGGACAAAGTTAAACTATCCTGACCTACTTGTTTTCCTTGAGAAGGAGTTACTATTCACAGTTTTATAACAACGTAAGTAGGTTACAGTTTTCTTTATTCGTCTTTCCCGCTTATTTACTAACTAGCCGGTGTGCGCTCGCTGTGGTTTTAGGCGTAGAAATGTGTTTTGAAGACTTAATTTTAACTGACCATGCTTAGACACTGCATGTTTAACTTTAAAGGAGCTGTGTCACGAAATTCAACCAAATTAGGTAATTACAACTGAAATGCCCGTTGAATTAAGAGAAACGTAAACATAACCGCTTAAAACATTAAAGGAAGGTTAAAATAACACAACAGATACAACAGATGCCACGGATGGGCAAAACTGAAGAAGATTGAAACGGATTGGAATTAGGGTTTTTGAAAACTGTTCAGCCTAACAGAAGTTGATCTCTGCTGTTTGCAACTTCAAAAATAACGCTCAGGAGACATATTTGTTTGCCTCGAATCTCTGCTTATGTCATTTACAATTAATTTTTTTGCTTACTTTAAGTTCCATAGCGATTGAGGGCGAGCAACTGGCAAAATTAAACTGCTATCATGCAAAACTTCGGAACCGATACTGGCTCATTGCCCCAAATTCGTTGTTAAGATGACTCTTACTCCCAGGAGTCTATATTTTTAATGCCAGGTATTTAATCGACAAGTTCTAAGCACGTGTGCAGTTTAGTAAACTTTCCGGAATATCACTGTTTCTTTTCAGGCTTTCGTTCAACAATTTTACTCCAACAAGTTTCGTTTTCAGATGTCCTTATGCCTGCATGCTAATTGAACGTAGGAAGGGCTTTTCTATTGTCATTTTATTTTTTATCAGTTGCAAATATCATTAGATTTCCTCGTACCTCATATCATCACTGAATGATATGTCTACAGCATAACAGGAATTCGGCTGAGGGGGTGTTTAAACGAGAAAACTCACACCGGCGCGAGTTTCGTACCGGGATGACTTTTTGAGGAAAGTAAAGTTCTACAGACCGTAATCGCACGTGTACTCCAAAACACGTACGCATCTACATCCATTTCCTGCCAGAAACTTACACCAAATCGTTTTGCTGTCTATTAAAAAGCGAGGAAATGTAATGCACGCGTCGGAAGCCATTAACAAAGCATTAATTTGGAAACCGCAATCTGCGGTTATCGTCTAAGACCTTGAAATCTTTGCACGTGAAACCTTGTCTCAAAAACCGCCCCGAGTTCACAGGCTAGTGTTCAAAGGTCAAAACAGCATTAACCACAATAATACAGTGTTCGGCGGCCAACCTTATGGTTGAGTGGTTGCACTTAGCACTCATTATCAGATATCTACAGATAGGACGGTTCCATTGTTCCGTAAGCCGTCGAATATAGCCAGATTCCATAGGTAGTGCTTTTTTACGGACACTTGTATTACGCACAGAGGTAACAGGTTCCAAGCGCAAGAGATTTTCTAATGGAAATAGAGTTCACCATGTTTTTGTTGACTTAGATCTAATTCATTTTGAAGTTTGGGGAGCAAGGGTGGCGCAGTAGTGAGAGCACTCGCCTCCCAACAATGTGGCCCCGGTGCAAATCCTGGCGTCGACGCCATTAGCCTCCCACGCAGACGTTCTTAGGGGTTCGTCACGCGTTACCGCCCCACTAACAGACGTTAGTGGCGCAGGAACGCGTGACGAACCCCTAAGAACGTCTGCGGGGGAGTCTGTTGGTTCTCTCTCTTGCTGCCAGAGGGTTTTCTCAGGGTACTCCGGTTTCCCCCTCTCCTTAAAAACCATCAATTCCATAATTCCAATTCGATCTGGATCGCACGGACACGTTTTGACGAGTTCTTATTAAGAACTCTTAAGTGCTTCTTGGGTAAATAAATTACAAAATTTACATATTAATTTGGATAAGGACACACACGCTCAAATTGGAGCCAAAAGAACTTCTGATAGTGTTGTCTTAGAATTATTGGAACTACATATGTTTCTATTTTCGTCTTGAAGACATTTTTCTTGTTATCTGATCCGTACCGTTTACATCGAAAACTTCCTTTCGCTCCTATGAAAACGCGGAGATACCGATGCTTGCACCAGCCAACACAACTACAACTGTTGACGAAATCATTCAAATTCTTGATGCGATTAGCACGAGTGACTGTGGGCGTACTGGTGCCGAAAAGGGAACTGAGATACCCTGTAAAATGTTTGTGCACAGTAGTTGTACATGTCGAGCCGAGCGTTAGTGATTTTGTTAGTGATCTAGTAATTTTGCAAAAGAGTCAACATTCTCCATCAATGAATCATAACTCAGCGCTCTGATCGATTTTTTAGCGCCCTCGCGAGCATAACATTGATCAACACAGATGGATATTGTTTCGTACAAACTTGCGCATTCAAACTCAACTCAGTGGTTTCGTCCCTGACATGGAACCATGCACAGGAACTTAACTTTGTTGTAGCCCTTTTTGGCTGCGGTGCACCTTTAAATACTCTGTGATTGGCTTTTATATACATGGCTAGGTCATGACTATAAGAACACAGAGAATGTTATGACGGAGAGATGATAAGGCGATTGTGGGACATAATTGTATTTGAAATCGTGCGCATTCTCTCATCTTGCCTATGAGAAACCTTTGTTTTAGCCGCAGTATTGCGTTCAAGTATCTAGTGGTTGGTTTGAACATTTTAGTCGAGGACTTAGAGCGCTATTACTCAAAGAGAAATGCGATTTTAGGCCGATTGAAGAGGGCGTGTGCTAAATAATACTTCCTTCGCACTAAGCGATGTACAGAAGAGGAATCTCTTGTGCTCGTCAGAAATTGCATTCATATCGTTTAATGTTAAACTATATTTTTGACTAACCTTTAACAAAAGCATCAGCTTCACCTCTTTTAAAGTTATTAGTCACTTTGCAAATTATGATTTTTATTTAATCTATATGCAAGGAAACACGTTTTCACATTTGATTACTTTTCTATATCCTTATAGACAATGAGAAATGTTAAAAGAAACTGCGGGCTAAATCTTTATCCATTTTTTTTTTTACCAATGAGCTAAAAATAAGTGGATATTTTGGGATTAATTTTCGTGATCTGTAGCCATACGTTTTGCACTGCAATTACTAGTTTAATCGTTTTTTAAGCCCCAATATTCAAATACAAACTCTCCAAACTGATCTCCGTAATTTTCTAAATAAATAAATAAAATTATTTGTGAGAATTTTTTGAGAGGTCAAAGCATTTTCCCTTGGTGATCATTTTATTAATTCTCCTAGCCTTTTCTCTTAATTTTGTTTTGATACTGCTGGGAAAAAGTTAATTTTGGATACTCTTGAGACTTAGGGTTAGTGTTGTTTAACTCCTTAAAAATGGAGTGGTCAGAAACCTAAAAAGGGTACTCCAATGCGGTGGGTGATTCCCCTAAAAAAGCATTTTGTTTTTTACTAATTTAGTGGACGTGATAGAAATGAGCTTTCATCTATCATCGTTAACCCTGAAAACCTCCTGTGAAGACATAGGTATCTAATAAACAATTATTGGATGAGGTTTTCGTGATATCCGGAATAACGAAGGTCGAGGTAAGTGTTATCAGCCGAGGCGAAGGCCGAGGCTGATGGCACTTACCGAGACCTTGATCATTTAGGATATCACAAAAACCGAATCTAACAATTGTTTTATTCTACATTGTTTTGAAGAAAATAACGACAAACACACTGTCACAAGGAATCTGAATTGTGGAAATCATGCATTGCGCGTGCAACCTCCAAATTAGTTTGTTATCGATAACTAACTAATCTGTAGGTTGCGCTGAATTCCAAAATTAGCGTAGGTTCTTAACCAATGGGAAGAATGCCTAAGGAAACGCAATGTGAGGTTGAAGTTTTTGGCTTATCCGCGAGAGTTGGCCCATTACATTACCGCAGCCTGACTGAGTGTATTCTTTAAGCTGCAAATACTTACAATGACGATCTCATTCATTTGAATTTGAGAATGAAATCTCAAGTGTAGCAGTTGTGATAGTTGAAAGCTATTGCGCAGTACTTCAGCCGCAAAAGGTCGAAATATGCCACTTTTTTACCCACTTTCAGACCTTTACATGACCCAGACTACTCCTTTGTTAACTATACCAATTCTCTAAATAAATGTCGAACCCTATAATGTTTTCAAGTCAAAACGCTTCGAAAGCTTTACCCACGTACATAAACGTAACACAAACAAGCCTATAAGTTTAAAGCGGACATCATTTACACAGATTTCCGTTTCCTCTTGGCCGCTCTGCACTCTACTTAAAAGTGAGATAGCCCCAAGACTACACCCTAGCCCGCAAAACGACATCCTGTTTTTATTTTGAGGTTCTAATTTTACTAGTTTAAACACTAAGCACACGTATCAACTCCTGGGTATGGCCAGCACCTTCCGCATGCGCACAACCACACGCCTAAGGTACTATACTTGGCCTACCGCGGAGTTGGTACGTGCGCTTCAGTGCTTAAATTGGTACTGTTCTAATTTTTAAGTCTGCTATCCTCAATCACTAAGAAACCAAAAGTATTAAAGTTTACGACGGATTTTAAATGCCAGACAAGTTCAAAGTTCACCTTTTCCCTCCTCCAAAGAAAAAGATGACAAGACCGAAAGTAATCAATTTAATGATATGAGAGATATCGAGGC